GGCGGGGGGGGGGAACCTCTTGCTCTCAGTGGCTCCTACCACTGCTCCAGCAGCCCCCTGCCCAGCAAGCCCAGCAGCACCCAGTAAAGCCTGATCCTGGACCCCGGCACCCTGTTGCATGCCTTGGCGCACCCCAAAAACGCTGATCCAGGCAGGGGATAACATCTTCTCCCTCCGCCTTGCATCGACGCTGGGTCTCCAACGCAGCCTGGGGTGGGGGACTCAAAGCCAAACCCACACGAATAATGGGTTTTTGGTTTTTGGTTGGTTTTTTTTTTTTTTAAATAAATAATCCCCATTGTTCTTTAAGCTGTGGTGGGGCTTCGGCTGGCGCGATGCTGGGGGCTGGCGCGGGACCGGCCTGGCAGCTCACCCCCTCATTTCCACGGAGGAGAAACGGAGCGAAGCCGTTTGGTTTGAATTAAAATCGCAGGAGTAAGGAGGGGGCGAAAGCAGACGTGCACATGCGAAGGGCTCCAGCCCCCCCCCCAGCCCCCGGGCTCAGGGCCACCCGCAGCAGAGGCGCTGGGTGCCCGGGAGGGGACCAGGGGGACCAGCCGTGCCCAGAGACGGGGCTCTGGGAGGGCCAGCGGGTGCCGTAATGGAGGAGCTGAGCATCTTCCAGGCACCGAAGGCATCTTTCCTCTGTTAATTAGTCCCGCTGATGGACTGCCCCAGCTTCCCAGGCCGGGCTGCAGCGTGCCAGCTCGGAGCTCTCCTCCTGGGGCACGGTGACGTTGTTTGGTCCCCTCTTGCGTGTCCCTGCTTGTCACCTGCATCACTGCAGGGGGGGGGACGTCTCAATGTCGCCGGTTATCGCCCGTCCCTGCTGTGCCAGGCGCCCAGCGGGCACCGTCTCGGGGGAGCCTTTGCCCGTGGGGGTTCGCAACGGGGGAAGCAACCAAGCGACGCGCCCAAAGCCACCCCGAGAGGGGACAACTGGCAAGGAAAGACCTTGGCAAAAATCGCCACGGGGCTGGCGAAGGGCTGGGTGCTGCTGCCTTCTGCGTGGGTGACCAAAGCCGCTCCGCCAAGCGTTTCTTGACCCAGGGTGCCTGTGATGGGTGCAGAGACAACCACGGCTTCCTTGCAACGAAACCAAGGGGAAAAGCAGCCCTGTGTGACCAGCACAAGGAGAAATAACCCCAACCCCAGGTCCTGCGGTGGCCGAGGGCTGGGAAGCACGGGCGAGCTCCCCTCCTTTGCACCTGCGGTTAGTTGCAAAGCCTGCGGAGTTCCCCAGATTCCCATAAATCGCTTCCAATAACCAGCTGGGATCCCAGCGGCTCTCCTCTGCCCAGCCCTGGCACCGCAGCCACCAACCTGAGGGCAGCCAAGGCTGCTCCGGAGCATCCCGCAGCCAAAACCACGCCGGCAAGCTTCCAAGCAGCGAGACCTCCAGCCTTGGGCTGCTCTGTGCGTGCACGTGCGTGCGTGCCAGCAGCTCTCCAGCCTCCCAAATCTTCTGCCTCCCACTTTCCACTTGCCGGGGTTGGGAGGATGGACTAATCCCACCGCAAGGCAGAGGCACGGACATCGCCCCGCTCAGCGGGCAAAAGCTGCCGGCCAGGGCTGCAGGCGCAGGGCTGAGCCAGAGGAGCAGAACGTGGGCGTCGTGGGCCCGTAACGCCCTCCTTGCTTTCTGTTCTTTGCATGAAATCAAGAGCTGGGAGCTGGAGAGTCGTAGAGTTGCTGGGAACCTGAGGCGCACGCAGAAATGCACGCACATGGCTGCGCACGCACGCTCGCACACGCCTGCAGGCATGTGCACAGCACAGGCGCTTATCCACATGCGCGCAGGCATGCCTGCACGCAGCGCACACACTCGCATGCGCACAGTGAACGCAAGCACGCATGCACACACGCACCCAGCACAGATGCACGTACGCGCACGCATGCACACACCTGAACGCACACAGCGCGCGCACGCGCGCATGCACATGGTGCGGACATGCGAACGCACAGGGGACGCGCACACGCACGCATGCATGCACGCACACGTGCACCCAGCAGAGGCACACACACACACACGCACGCGTGCACACGTGCAGCCAGCACAGCTGCACGCCCAGGCACACACGGGGGGACACACACACACACGCACCCAGCACAGACACACTCCCTGCTATGGACACCCTAAATACCGCCTCCCACCAGCTGCACCCCCAGGCCTGGCAGCGCTGGGGGTGAGCCAATGGTCCCCAAAGGGCTCCGCAAGCAGCTGCATCCTCCCGCTCTTTGCTTTGGGGACAAAAAACGGGCTGTCCCCGCCGCCGTTTCACGGAGAAAAGGTTTGCAAGAACCCCGTGGTCCTACCCCAAAACCCTTTCCAGGTCCTGCTGCTGCTGCTGCTGCTGCTGCTGAACAGAGCAGCACCAGCCCCGTGCAAGGTCAGGGCTTGCCCATGTGCCCGCGGTCGTGCATGCGGGTGTGAAAGGTGCTAAAAAGCTAACGGGCATCGAACGAAGGCAGCGAGAGGGAGCCCCAGAGAGACAGGAGGAGGGGGTTTCACGTGGGCAAGCTGGGGAACAGCTCGCCGCAGGAAGGTTGGAAAAGAACAGGGAGAGAAATGCCTTGAGGTTACCAAATATACGTGTATTTATATAAATGCATACGTATACGCACACAGCGCGACGCCAATGTCCGTGCACGCCCCTGCCCTCCCTGCACATCTGCACTGCAACCCGTGCACACGCACCCTGAGCTGTGCGCCCACGCGCACTCGCGCTCACACGCATTTTTGCACGACGGGGACCACAGGCAGCTCTTCCCAGCTTACTCCAGGGGAGTGTTTCGGGCCTGCAGGCCGTCGGCTCCGGCAGAGGTAATCAGGCCTTGACGGAAACCACCGCTTTGCTGGGCTTAATGAAAAATGTGACCTGTGCCCTCGCCCTCCTGCTGATAATTTTCACGTGACTTGTCCCGGGGGAGCTTTGCAGAGGGGACAAGCACGCACATGCACAGCCGTGCATGCACACCGCTGCACTGCACACCGCCACTGCCGCCGGGACCCGCTCACGGGTGCAGCTGCGCACCATGAGCACCTGCACCCGCACCCTTGTACACACCCAAAATCTCCCCCTTTTTAGGCTCACGTATAGCCAAGGTGATGCTGCAAAGCAGACGCGTGCATGTTGAACATGGATGTTTTCACCATCTTTGGCCATCCGACTTTTGCGGCTGCAGAACAGCAAGAGGCTGCAGGCAAAGCCTTGCAGGACTCAGTTTGGTCCCCAAGCTGGAAGCGCTGCTGACGATTTGGAGCCAGCTGTGAGCCCCGAGGTATTGCTACTCGCTCCCCTGGGTTTTATTTCTAGGGGGAAGCCGGGCAGATGAGGTTCAACACGCGACTGGATGCACAACGGCGGCGGGTGGGGGGCTCCAGCCCAAATATGAGCCCAACGTCCTACCGCCCCAGCCCTGCGTGAGAGCATCTCCTCCAGCATTTCAGAAAGGGTGGAAACCAAGCCCTGGGTGGGGAAAACAGCTGCAGGATTTGGATAAGGACGGGCAGGACGGGGAGCAGCCAGCACTTGGCTCCAGCATGAGTGTCAGGGCTCACCAGCCCAGGCATGCGGATGCAGGGCCCCGCTGCCGGCAGCTTTTCGGCAGCTCAGCTTTGCTCCGTGTCCCAGGGAGACACCGGCTGCAGGGACAGACCTGCTTTGGAGCCAGCTCACGGGGAGCAGGAGGAGTTTGCGCTGGAGCTGATCGGGGAGCGCTCATGCGATGGCTGGCCGTGGGGCTGGGTCTGTTGCCTTCATCTCCGCTGGCCTCCTCGGACCATGAGTTTTGGGGCTACAGCTCTTGAAACGAGGGGTGCTCTTTTCCTTGGACGCTTCTGCCAGGCAACCAGGAAAGTGGAAACGTGGCCCCCTCTCAATGCAAATAAGAGCACGGAGATGGGGTGCAGGTCGGATGCCCATCCGTATGCACGGTTCAGATGCCCAACCGCAATTGCTTGGCTCATTAGCCGTGTCCTAACGAGCCCTGCCTGGCCTCTCGCTGCTGCTGCAGAGCAGCTCAGGGCTGGGTGCCCGGGGTGCACGGGCATGGGGCCAGGCAGGGATTTGGGTTCAAACAGCAAAGTGCAGGTCTGAGCACGCAGACGGCTGGGATTTAACTCAGACCTTGCAAAAAAAGCCAAAACCAGAGTCCTAACCTTGGGCTAGGTGCCTTTTTAGTGGGTGAGGGGGGGTCATGGACAGGGAGAAAGGGAGTGTGCATCCCCAGGAGCCAGAAGACTGCTGCCAGCCTTGCAAGAGAGGATATTAAAAGCAGGCTGTGTTGAAACCACCCCGGCTCTGTTGCTGAAAACATGCTGTTTCCGCAGCTCCGAGGTGGTTCGCAGTATTTTTAGCAGTTTACTCATTTTCTAACCCATTTCCACGGAGTGTGTTGTGAGTCGCAGGACACCTGCCCAAGCCGGCTTCAAAACGACGCCTGGGGGAGCTGCCTCTCCAAAAACACCAGATCCGTGTGCCGGAGGCACCAGCACCTGTTGGGGGGTTGTCTCCAGGGGGGTGGTATCCCCCGCAATGCCCCGGCCCTGCCGGGAAGCACCGTGGGGTGTGCAAGTGTGCGTTTGCACGCACGCCCATGTTTCTGCGCGTGCTGGCACGCGTACGCGCCTTCCTTTGGGGAGTTTTCCTCCTTTTCCGTGGGCAGGATGGGAAGGAGCAGTGCAAGCCAGGCGGAGCATCCCTGCTCTGTGTTGCTGGCCCTGGGATGAAGGGATGCTGGCAGCGGAGGGCATGGACCAGGGGCATGGTCCCCCATCCCCAGCGGCAGTGGGCAGAGTGGTGAGAGTTGCTTTTTGGGGAGCAGCCAGGGTATCACAGCTCCACATCCCTCTCCAAAGATCATCAGGTCTGGAAATGAGCTGGACACCCAGCACTCGTATGCCCCAGGTGGGACGGTGTCCGCTCCAGGTGGGACCTGCTCTGAGCAGGGATCTCACCGCGGCCGTGGGAGGACAGGGATGGCATCAAACAATGATGTTCCTCTTACAGCGTCGCCGTTGGCTCTCCCCAGCCCAAGGAGCAGGTGAGGGCAAGTCTACTTAGCCCAGAAGGCCAATCGTACCCTGGGCTGCATCACCAGCAGCGTGGCCAGCAGGGCGAGGGAGGGGATTCTGCCCCTCTGCTCTGCTCTGGTGAGACCCCCCCTGCAGCACTGCCTCCAGCTCTGGGGTCCTCAGCACAGGAAAGACACGGACCTGTTGGAGCGGGTCCAGAGGAGGGACACGAAAACGATCAGGGGGCTGGAACACCTCTGCTATGGAGAAAGGCTGAGAGAGTTGGGGTTGTTCAGCCTGGAGAAGAGAAGGCTCCGGGGAGACCTTATTGCAGCCTGTCAGTACTTAAAGGGGGCTTACAAGAAAGATGGGGACAGACACTTTAGCAGGGCCTGTTGCGACAGGACAAGGGGGAATGGCTTTAAACTAAAAGAGGGGAGATTCAGACTAGATAGAAGGAAGAAATTGTTTACGCTGAGGGTGGTGAGACACTGGCCCAGGTTGCCCAGAGAGGTGGTGGATGCCCCATCCCTGGAAACATTCCAGGTCAGGCTGGACGGGGCTCTGAGCAACCTGCTCTAGTTGAAGATGTCCCTGCCCACGGCAGGGGGGTTGGACTAGATGGCCTTTAGAGGTCCCTTCCCACCCAAACCATTCTGTGATTCTATGATTCTACTTCACTAAATGCTGTATCTTTCTGTGGATATCTTTCTGTGGACGGGGCTCTGAGCAACCTGCATCCATTTCTGATGGAGCCGGGGCTCATCCTTAACCCTTCCCCTCTGACGGGAGACGAGGGATGCTGGGCAGAAGGTCTCAGCTCTGGCAAGCCGGTGTCTGGTCTCCAGTAGCACAAAATGGGATTTTCCATGGGAAAACCAAGCCCTCCATGGTTAAGGGTGCGCATGACCACCCAGTCCCCATCGTCCGAGGACCATCAGCTCCAATGCTGAGGTTTCAGCCACAGCCACCTGAAGCCAGGGACCACCAGGGCCGTCTCCCTGGGCTACACGTGGATGTGGTCTCCGGTTGATGAGCTGCTCTTCGCCATGTTGCAAAATCAGCCTCTGCCTGTGGTTTTCCTTGATGTGATAAGACAGCTCCGGGCCACCGCGGTCGGCACGGCTGGCTCCAGCACTTGAGTCAGCTACATCCAAAGCCAGAGGCTTGGCTTAAAGTTCAAGACATGCAGAAAGCAGTAACGAAAGGGATGACTTTTCTCTTCATTTTGCCTTTCTTTTTCAAGATTGTGGTCCACAACCCAGGGGGTAAGGTGCTTTTACTGGGGTCTTACTGAAAGCTGAAATCCTGCCAGTCACGGGACTCCAGGAGGTGGGGCTTTGAAGATGCCCGTGACCGTGAGCCTCCAGCTCTCCCCGCTGTCAGCCGATGCCATAATGTTATTGTTATTGCTGGAGCTGCTTTCGGGTGAGCAGCTGTAGCTCAGCCCAGGACAAGAGCGCCTGTCCCGAGCTCTTTGCACAATTCATGGCATCCCTCGCTCAGGGTTGCGCGGGCCAACAACAACATTAAAACAATGTAATGCAAGAAATAAGTGGGAGAGGTTTCAAAATTCCAGCAAAACCTTCTCTGTCCCTTCCCCAGCCCAGGAAAAAGCTAAATCCGCCCTTTGCAAAAGACACAGGCTGCCTTCACGGTGCTGGCATTACCGCAGCTGGAGTTAAACATGAAATCCGTCACCCCCGCAGCTGCCTGCAGCAGGCAAGGCACAGAAAATCATCCCAAAGGGATGGTGCGGGGGCAACGCTCAGCCCTGCCCAGCAGCTAGTGGAGATTTGGGGCTGGAAACAGCAGAGGGGCCCCCATATTCCCCCCACCCGGTGGCGTTTCCCACCCGCGCCCGCTGCGGCACCCATCCAAGCCCCCCCACCCAGCAGAGCACCACACGGGGGCGGCACGGGTGCAAGGAGGGGTGGTACTAGGACCGTGGGTTAAACCAGGCATCTTCCCAAACTGCTTCCAGCACGACGAGGGGGAAAACAAGCTGGTGGCGACGCGGACCACGTGGGATGTGTACGCGGGGATGAGCTGGGGCTGGGAGCAATTACAGGCATTTGCGAGCAGCTTTCCCATCCCTGCGCTCACCAGAAAGCCGGAGAGGGGAGGCAGGAGGACGTTGCCCCCCCAAACATGGGGCTCCTGAGCCTCTCCTGAGCCTCGCCATCCCCAGCACATGATGCTTGGGCCCTGCAGCGATTCCAGCCTCAAAGCTTAAATCAAAACCACTCCAGACGTGCAGTATGGAGCCGGTGTGGGCTCATGTCATTGTCCCCAAGGAGCTGTGGCTTTCAGCGGTGGCTGCAAACCAAGGCAGGCGTCGCCTCTGCGCCCCGCTTCTGCTGGATCCCATATTTTCCTCCCCTGGATGGCATGGAAAACCCTCCCGAACACCTCTGCAGAGGCAGCAGAAACATGGTCCCATGCCCACAGCCAGACCCGGTTCTCTGAGCTCCTGCACAGGGGAGCATCGCCCTAGGGTACCGCTGCACCATGGAGGGAGGACCCAGGCTCAGCCCTTACCTGCGAGGATGAAGACCCCGACGAGGATGAGGAAGACGAGGAGGTAGAGTCCCACCACGGCGTACTTCAATGCTGCCAAGGAGCCCAGCCGTCCGCAGCGTCCTGCTGCCTTCATCCTCCGCCCAGGACCTGGGGGACAGAGCAGGGTGTCAGGGAGAGCATCATGCGCCCACCCTGCCCGGGCTCCATCTCCCACCGGGAGAAAACGTTGCAAGTATAATTTAGGCAATGCCTCGTGGGTGCAGGCACAGCTCTCCGTGCCCCGGCGTCGATCCGCATGGCTTTCCCCGAGTCGGGACCGTCGGTGCTGGCACAAGCCCACGCTCCCAGGTAAAGGCTCACATGCAGCCGGGACACCATCAGCAATGCAGTAGGCAGGGGCAGTCCGGATCCTGCCCATACTGGTGCTGCGGGTCTGGGTTGGGGGCAGGCAGCCCAGTTTCAGCATGCACACATCTCCCCTCCTGCACGGGCAGAGCTGGGGTGCCAAGGGGCCGGTGAAGATCCCGGGTAGGCAGACATCAGCATCACCCACCCTTGTCACCCCTCCAGCTCCCACCCTTCACCCCATCCCCTGCCTTCCCTGCCTGCGGCCCTGGGACTCTCGCCCTGCCGGGCAGGAGGCAGGCAGCGATAAGGGGATGCAGGAAGACAGGACAAGGGGGAATGGTCTTAAACTAAAAGAGGGGAGATTCAGACTAGACAGAAGGAAGAAATTGTTTACGCTGAGGGTGGTGAGACACTGGCCCAGGTTGCCCAGAGAGGTGGTGGATGCCCCATCCCTGGAAACATTCCAGGTCAGGTTGGACGGGGCTCTGAGCAACCTGCTCTAGTTGCAGATGTCCCTGCCCACGGCAGGGGGGTTGGACTAGATGGCCTTTAGAGGTCCCTTCCCACCCAAACCGTTCTGTGATCCGATGATTCTGAGACGCCTGGATCCTGACGTCCCTGCCAGCCCCTGCTTGCCCATTCTTGCATTAGCTGCGATCCAGCTCCTCTTCGACACTGCCACGAGCAGCAAGAGCTGTGCGCCAAGGAGGTGGGCTTTTGTGAATAAAATAGCCGGGAGGAAAATGCAAGGAAAGAAAAGGGACGGAAAGGCTCCATGCCGTGAACCCAGCAGCAGTGAAGTCATCTGGTTTGGGGCTTTGCACATGCTCAGAGCTTGAGCCCATGTTGAAATCTGGGCCAGGTTGTGGCCTTAGGTGAGAGCCGGAGCCTGATCTGGATACAGACCCCGCATCCCTCTGTCCCCAGCCCCAAGGCTGCAGCGATGCTTCAGCCTGACGCCTTGGCTCTCTGGGTGACCCCCTGCTGCTGGGACAGGGTGCCGGGCATTGGGTGCCTGCATTGTTGTGTTGGACCCTTGCAGAAACACAAGGTTTCTGAGAGCAGCTGGGAACCAGCAACTTCATGCCAGGTCAACAAGCGCTGCCTGGTTTTGCCCCTTGCCAGATCCGAGATGTCTCCAAGAAGACACCAACAAAAGGTGGAGGAAGAGTCCAAAACTCCTACCCCCTTGACATTTGGGTGGCTCCAACCCATCGCTTTCTGCCCTTTAAGCCCCGAGGCACAGCACAGCACCGACCCAGAGCATCAACCCAGCAGAAAGGGTGAGGCAGGTGAAGCATTATGGCCCCGAAGCCAAACCTCCTGGGGAGGAGACCACGCTCATCCACGGCCATGCGCAATGCCCGCTTCCAGCCGAGACCACCCCTGCTGGGCTTTGGGACCTCACCCCATCCCACCCCCCGCCCCATGGGGCAGGAGCTCAGCTCCCTGTGAGACCAAGCTGGCACTTGGGGTGCCAGAGATGGAAAGGAGGTGCAACAGGCTGGGGGTGTCCTTAGCCTGGCAGGGACCCTTCCCCACTGCACCTTTGCCCTTCCCCAGCTGATGGTCCGTATGTCTGTCCTGCTGGAGGACAGGGAGGCTTGCAAAAGCCTCCAGCCAGTGTAGGGTTACGCTGGGTGTATCGCCTAACTCAGCCCCATTTCGGGGCTCTGAAATGATAAAGTGCTGAGGTCAGGCTCGCTGACACCCAGAGGGGATCCCGCGGGGATGTGGGGTGCTCGAGGCGCCCCAGCTCAGGTGCGAAAGGCGGTGCTGCTCCTCCGGGACCCCTCCATCTGCAATTCATTACCCGCACGCGGTTCCCATTTGCTGTCACCGGCCAAACAGATGGAGCCGAGAGTTTCAGAACGAGGAAAGCTGCAATATTTTTCTGACATTAACACTTATATCAGGTCCTGGGAGACTCCTGGAGGAGCTGGCCCTGGGCCCTGAACCACCCACTCCTCTTTGCTG